ATGCAGTTTGAAGCTGTGTCCGCGTAGATTGCTGCGCGACAGATGGTATAGATGCATGAGGTTGGTGCCCATCAAACCATGAAGTATCCTGAACGTAACTATAAGATCGCCACGAAGTCTTCGCTCAGAGAATGAGGTTAGGTTGAATAATTCAAGGCGATCTTCATAGCTTGGTCTTCGTGCTCCAAAAGGGATACGAGTAGCCCGACGCTGTACTGATTCGACGAGATTTCTATCGCGCAGAAGCACAGTGTCCCATACCGGGCCAGCGAATTCAAGAATTGGCCTCACGAATGCCTTGTAAATGTAGGCGCAAGTTTTGACATCGGATCCTTTGAAAGACCTCTCCAGCATATATAGAAGTTTCTTGGCTTTTGATGTAACGTGGTGAATATGCTCTGACCAGGAAAGACGATCGTTGACTACAACGCCCAGATCAGTGTGGCTCGAAACTGCTTCGATGTTGTGGTCAGAGATCTTGTATGTAAATCGCGGATTTGTCTTCCCGAGGTGAAGGACACAACACTTGGTTAGATTTAAGGGTAAAAGCCAACTGACTGACCATTGACAAACAGTATCAAGATCTCGTTGAAGCATAGCAGAATTTACGACAGTATTGTAAATCTTGGTGTCGTCGGCATAAGCTGAACATGTGGAGGAAATCAATGCGGGCAGGTCACTGGTATACAGAAGGAACAGCACTGGCCCCAAGACAGAGCCTTGAGGAACTCCACTTGCTACATGATGAGGGTGAGACTGGCTATCACTGACGCGCACAGAGAAAGTCCTCCCGGTGAGAAAAGCCTTAATCCACAGTAACAACTCGCCTCTTATTCCCATACATTCCAACTTAAACAGAAGCCTTCTATGTGGTACGCGATCGAAAGCCCTAGAAAAATCTAAGTAGATTATATCAACAGGAGTCTTGGTGTCCAGATACTGAGTCCAATCGTTGAGAGAGTGGAGAAGGTTGGTCATTATTGATCGACCAGGGAGAAATCCATGCTGATTCTTAGGGATAAGGTCATTTTCGAAAGCAAATGACTGGAGCTTATCTAATATGATTCTTTCAGCTATTTTGGCAGCGATAGGAACGAGACTTATTGGTCGATAATTTTTAGCGGAGGATTTGTCGCCCTTTTTGAATACAGGAGTAACAGAAGCACTAAGCCAGCATGAGGGTAGGGTATGAGATCTAAAAGACGATGTGAATATCAAGCTTAATGGTAGGGCCAGTGCTGAAGCGCAGTTTTTAAGTACAGCAGCCGTCATCCCATCTTTACCAGGGGAGGAAGAGGTCTTCAGATTTCGCAGGTGCATTAATACATCTTCAGGCAGGAACTCAACTTCGCAAAGGCTGTTGGGACACCTATGGCAGATAGTGGTCGGTAGAAGGTCTCCATTAGGCTCATCGACGAAGTCATCACTAAAGGACTCTGCCAGTAAGTTGGCAGATTCGGTGGCATCCATGTGGAGATGACCGTCAGCGTCGCGGATCTGAGGTGATGAAACTTTGGAATTCAGGTTTGTTCTTAGATACCGAAACAGCTTCTTCTTATTTTTGGAGGTAACGAGTTTTCGTTCATAAGCATGTTTGGCATTATGTAACGTTCTAGATAGGAGGTTAGAAAAGGATCGATGAGACACGTAATCTTGTGAATGGCCACTCCTCCTAAACCGTTGCCACAAAGATCTCTTGTGACGAAGCATCCTCGATATGTTAGAGTTGATCCAGGGCTTTGAGGGGTCACAGTATACCTTCTTTTCAGCAGTATTGTCAGCCGTTTCGCTTAGGACTCGTTGAGCGAAAGTGTCCCACATATCTTGGGTGCTACGGTTGTTAAGCAAAGCAGGCCAGTTGACTTCAGACAGGGCTTGGTTAAGAGCATCGTGGTTTACAATTTTGATGGTTTTAAACTTATCGGTTGTAGAACGACTATTTATATTGAACTGGAGAGAAGATAAAAGTGAACAATGGTCAGACTTGCCAAAAGGTGGCAAATAATCTAAATTAGAAACAAAGTCTGCGTCGTTAACGAATATCAAATCCAGAGCCCTAGGCGTCTGTCCTTCCCTGAATCTCGTTGGACGATCAACAAGTTGAGATATGCTAGAGTTGCGTAGCAAGTCGATGTAAGCAGCAGAAGAAGAATTGCATTCAGGAATGGTTGACATAGGCCAGCTAATGTCACGTAGATTGAAGTCACCAGCTATGAAAAGGTTGGTGTTTTTATTTAAGAGATCTGAAATGAGACTGCACAGGTGTGTGTCTCCCAAACAGGGCCGTGGCCGATATATGCAGCCTATCGTGAAGCTGAAATTTGGGCACCTCAATTCCAAAAATAGATTGTCAATGCCATCGAAAGGACTGAAAGAGGGAGATACCGAGAAAGCCGACGCGATTTCCGTGCGAACATAAATGCATACTCCACCAAAACCAGGAGTGCGTGGTGAATCCATTCTGTATAAATAGTATCCAGGCAAATTGATGGAAGAGTCGGACACGTTGGAATGGAGCCATGTTTCAGTAAGACAAACGAACGTTGGATTATTGTCTCGAACAAATGCTTGGAGTTCAAGTAGCTTAGAAAAGAGAGATTGTATATTAGTGTAACAAACCGTCCAGTTTGCCACAGAATTTATCAGTTTTTTGAAGGTGTGATCTCCTGGGTAGCTGTGTGTACTATAGAAGGTTTACCACGAACGTATTTTATAGTAATATTACTTTCGCCTGTTGTTTGACGACGTCTAAGCTCTTCGCGAAGGTGTTGTAGTTCTTGCATTTGACCTCTGGTTTTGTCGTCAGAGATTTTTACGTGACGAAGCGTAGAGTGGCTAAGGATGGAGTTTTTCTTCCGCAAAATATTGCTGACGATAATAGGTGAGGAAAACACAACTCTAATTAAACGATTGCTTGAAGTTGTTCTGCCAAGGCGAGTGATGCTGAGTCGGTGATTTTCGGCAGATGGTTCAATATGCCTAATTATCTCTGATACTATGTTTATGTCATCGTTACCTTCAGCTATGCCCCTCAGAATGATATTGTGGGAACGTCTAAATAACTCCATTGTCTCAGCTTGGGAGCTTGGGGCAATAGGGGTAGAAGAAGCGCCGTTGCCTGAGTGCATCATCTCCATAGATCTTGCAAGTCTCGATTCAATATTAGCAATGTTAGAAGACAGCTCTGTTTGAGTAACCTGGATATTTTGTATGTTGGTTTCGCAGGCCGCTATTAAGTCATCATGCCGAGAGATCGAGTCCGAATGTTGCTGTAGCAAGTTTCTACAATAAGCAACATCAGTTCTGAGTTGAGATTGAGAGTTCTTAATATCCTTTATGTCACTGGCCATAGTTGATAATTGGTTAAGTATAAGGGCGAGAGTGTCGGTAGGGGTAGACTGATCTGGTTGTAAAGGAGCAGTGGTTTCTGAACGAGCACCGCATGTGGATCCGCTTCGGGTAACTCGTCCCTGTTTACAACAGGCTGGGCAAGACCATCGTTCTTTTCCGTTCGACAGTTCTTCGTTGTTATCACTGTATTTTTCTACATTATCCCCATCTTCAGGATCTTTCATGTTTTTATTCTTCTTTCGCACAGTCCTACTCATGTTCCCTTATTCCAGCGGCTATTTCCCGATTACCCTATACACTCTGTAGACTAGTTTCTTAATTTGATTTGACACAATTGACGAAATGTCCAAATGACAAAATGGAATATATGGTAAAATGGCTGAAGATTACTCCCACGGCTCTGGAAACTATCGCCAACAGGTCCACGGACGTACCTCTTCCTGCTCTTAACTTGAACACCTCTGGTTTTAAATATTTTTGGCTTTTCTCCGATATTTTGAGGTATTTACAGTGAATACTAATTTAGTAGCCTACTTTTTAACTTCGATTTGCTGTATACATGTTAGTGGTAGTTCTAAGCGACTATGACGTTGAATAATAGCAGTGCTGGTGTCGTTAACCATACCGCCTGTCGCTAATTAAGTGATGATGCTAGAAATATTTTGCATGCTCCCTCACTTTACTGATACTAATGTAGAGCTGTAAGCCTGTAGTTATTAAGTCCTCTTTTGCATTGTGGGCATCGTTCATAATATGGGTGTTCAGATGGTCCATGGTCCATGGTCCATGGTCATGTTGGGTCGATGGTTGCTATAGAAGGATTTTATTTTAAAGGAGCCGTAACAACGGCAGTAACCCCTAAGCTAGCATACTATTTTTCATGGTAATTATAGAAACGATTTTCTGCAACTCATTTTTCACTAAATCACCGTGAACGTTATAGAATGCAGACTGGATCCGGCTCTGTTCCAGACTGGAACGAATGGCTCTAGCATTCGGAATTAGAGGCAGGTTAGTGTGTTGTGTTTTGGAACGCGACGCTTGACGGTGGCGGCGTTGCGTCACTCTACCACCCTTCACTCTTTTTCCGTCTCTGGATGCCTCCAGTTCCCCTTCATGCCATCCACCTTTGGCGCGTATCCCGGTGGTCCTGTGTGTCTCTCCATACTCCCGTGTTTGCTCAGCCGCGTGTAGGCACTTTGCGACGTTGCCGCTCTGGGAGATGATGTTCACCAATCGTTGCAGTGAGTGGAATACAGCATCCATCTAAGAATGTATCTCTTTTTTAGAGAATGGAGAGCTTTTATAACCACCTTCTCAGGAGTTATCAAAAAACTGGAAATCTTGTTGATCTTCTTCGGGTACGTTCAATGCATTGCGTTGAAAAGTCTTCAGTTAAGATGGCGTCACTACTGTCTTCTGACATCAGCAGTTATCACTAACATCCAACAGCTGTTATTTTTTGTGTTGTATTGCGTTTGATCATCGACAAGAGCTTCCAATTCACCGTTATGGATGGAACTGACGTTGAAGAAACCTTAAATCTTGATTATTTATTATCATCTAAAATAACAGCACTGGAGCTGCCCTCCTTTGATGCTGGTTCAATATTTTATAAACATCTTTTTCAAAACTATATTTTTGCATCTGCCCTTTTGTAGGCTAATACATAGTTTCCTTCTTTTATTTTCCTACTTTTGTTGACATTCCATCGGTAGATTTTGGTTGATATTTGAATAATAATACAAGATGTTACAAAAAAAATATAAAATTAAATTGCAAAAACCATAATACTCGTATTTTGTAACAGATTTTTTTAAGAGATACCCACACATGCTAGTGTGAACAATTCAAACAGTTTTTGACAAAAGATTTTATGCAGGACTGTGTACGTTCCGGGAATCGTACGTAGGTTCCCGGTCTATAACGAGACCTTTCCAGATCTTTCCCACGTAGAATATATTCCAATCCATCGTGGATCGTGGTCATTTTTGCATCAAATAGTGGCAGATTGATCTAAAATAGAGCGCATGTTTGGTCCAAGTGGTACACATTACATATATATTATAGAACATACCAGTTATATAAATAACTGAATATAATCTATCAGAGCAGCGGACATATAGAGAGAGGTGTTAAAGCTACGATTAACTGGATGAAAAACATTACATCTCTCTCGGTGTATGTGAACCGTAATTGAAATGTTTGGGATTTTCATCTGGAAAATATTTATAAATATATCTGTACAGTTAGTTTAACGATATCTCAGCATAGGTGATGGTTTTAGCTTCCGATGTGAATGCGTAGCGTAGGTGTGGCGACTTTGAAACTAAACTGTAAAACATATGTATGTCTACAACTCGGGAAATAAAAACAACATCTAAAGATTCATAAACATTTGACATTCTAACATTGAACTTGTCAGATACAAATTGACAGTTATATAAATAAAAAAACTTACAGTATCGGCATATTATACGAAACACACATACATGTGTTCTATGGGACCCCAGAAACTCTTATAAAGTTATAGTCAAGTACCAACATAGAAGAAAGAAGCGTAACGCATCATATGACACAGAGAATGAAATCAGCAGTAGGTATTTTCGTTGTAATGGATTTAAAATTATCATAATGAGTAACTTCTAAAGGGTTCCAGGAGGTGACAATGAAGATCGTCCCAAAAAAGGTCATTATTGATAGATTTGAAAATATAAGCCACACAAATTCCGTTCGTTCTGCTACGCTATATAGACTGAATTCACACGGCCGGATCACATACACAGTCACCGAACACTGTACGAACAAACCTATAATCGCCAAAATAAATAACTTTAGGAAGTTTGAGCGGCAGGTATGCTTACCTCAATTTTAGGGTTTCCACCCGTCGCGTCAGCTTTTGGCAGGATTTCTGGCTTTTTTGAAAGTACATTGGCGGGACGGATCGTTCCTCCTACTTTTTGTATTGTTCAACAAACGTAAATCCAGAAATGTCATTTTAATTTCTTTCGATTCTTGGGATATAAAGTTTATTTCAAATTAGACATTCATGATTGGGATCCCAGAAACTGTAAGGGATACGAAGTCCCTTAAAATGGGGGCAAAATTGCGTATTTAGTGAACGATCAAAATGTCGCTTAGAAAGTTTCGAAATTCAAAGTACTTCCGGGGAGAGAGGGAAATACAGAATTTTCCCAAAATCGTTTTGTAGTCAGATTTGAAAGTAAACTGCATATTAACATTGCCACTTTCTATCCTCCTGTGTAATACGCGGCACATTGATGTTGCCAAACCTTAAAATTTGAAAAAAAGCAGAATTTCCTAGGTAGGACTTGAAATTATCAGACAGTCATTTGTTTCGCCGATCAGATTTATCCCAAAATTACATACTTTTATTTTCCTTTTCAGTTTATTTGAGATGGGATTCCAAAATAAATTGCATTTTCAAATTGACAATTTTTCTCTAGATAATTAGAATTTCGAGGTGACGTTTCGTCTCTTGTCCTTCAGCATTAACTTTATTTTTTCTTATGGACGCTAAATTGCATTTTTGAGATAAATAGAGTTTTTAATTCTGATTTCAAAAATCCATAATATATCATTCATTGACATTGCCAAGCTGTAGTTGTTCCAGTAAAAACATGCCTGTATAACAGACCTCAAATTGAACATAGCAACAGAGTTTGGAAGACTGAGCAGAGAAATGAATCGTGTAGTGGACAATGTCTATAGAAGAGCCAGGCCTTGTCTAGAAAATAACGGAGATTTTGATTATCTGCTATGATTTACCTCTGCTTATTTATGATTATTATCATTATTACCACCAATTAAATTTTCATTTTATGTACAGGTTTCACCATAGCTTTCTTTGTATTTCCATATATTTTTCATCGAACAACAAACTCATGGCCAACTAAGGAAATCATCGAATTTAGAACTAAAAAGTCCGTTTAAATTTACAAAATTCCATTATAAGTTGGTGATGCCAACTTGTAGAGGAGAATAAGTAACAATGACAACATGCAATTTATTATGGAATCCAATCTCAAATAAGGTCAGAAAAACATAAGTGATTTTGGGATACTGGTATGCGAAACAAATGACTATCTGATAATTTCAAGTCCTACCTAGGAAATTCGTTTTTTTAATAGCTTAGCTTTGCAATGACAATGTATGATGTATTATACGTTTTTGAAGTCAGAATTAAAAGCTGTATTCATCTATACAAAAATACAATGGCGCCCATAAGAAAAAATAAACTTGATGCTGGAGGACAGATACAAAACATCATATTGTAATTTTAATTATGCCTTCTTGTAGAGGTGAAAAAGTGGCAATGTTGATATGCAATTTTTTTGAAATCCCAATACAAATAAAGTCAGTAAAAAATAAAACGATTTTGGGAACATTGGGTTTTTTCTGTCTCTCTCCGGAAGTACTTTGAATTTATAAACTTGTTGATTACCTAAATACGCAACTTTGCCCCCATTTAAGCAACTTCGTATTACAGTTTCTGAGATCCCAATGGTAAGGGTCGAACTTGAAACACCCTGTAGAGATGTCTTATTCAAATTGCCAACTTTTGGGCGTTTATTTTCTGTCGAAGAAATTAACAGCACATATCAGATATAGTAACTTACCTCTTTTGTAAATCCAAAGATTCCGACAAACAATTCGTAGTGGCAACGTTTTGATCATAACCCTAAGAATGTAAACTTTCCGGCGCTGCTTATGAAAACAACCCCACTGCAAACTAAAAATTTGAGCTATAAAGGCGAATCTAAGGGAACTTCAAGTACCAAAAATCCATCAAACTGTTTAAATCTAAATTTCAAAGTGGAAGTTTTTATTTAAAGTCTGCCATTTCAATTTTAAAAAAACCAGTGTCACTCGCACTGTCAAGACAAATCTAGGGACATCTAGAATGTCAAAATCAATCCAGCAGTTTAAGCTGTATCCCGTAAAATGATATTATTGAAGTTTGCGTTTAAGATTCGCCATTATAATTTCATAAAATATCAGTATACCCAGTGTCCCTCGCGCTGTCAAGATAAATCTAGGTATGCCTCATTTTTTTACTAAGATCGCAATTTCGATTTTGAAAATTTTAGTATAAATAATCTCTTCAGGGCAAACCTAGGGACACCTCATATGTCAAAATCCATCAAATCGTTTAAGTTATAACCTGTGAAGTAGAAATTACAAGGTTTATTTTTTCATTAAAATCTGCCATTTTGTTTATAAAAATTGTTAATATGCATTGCTGAGACGAATCCAACAACACTTCATATGACAAACTCCATCAAGCCGTTAGGCCTGTAGCCTCTAAAATAAAATGTTTTGTCTGCCCACATAGACACACATAAATATGCGCGAGAAACATTTCCCTCCTTCTGAGGTATTCGGTAAAATGCGATTAAATCCAAAAAAATGGCGTCGCGTATGTTGACTCTGACCTTCCCAACCAATGCTGTCATCAGTTCGTAGAGGATTATGTTTGGCATCCAGTTAGCCCGTCTGAGAAAAAAGTCAGGCTAAGAACATGTATAACAAAAAATTAAATGACTTTCCTCCTGCCTGAATGACGATATTGGCTTTCACCATGCACACAACAGAGCGGACGCCATTGCCGACTGTGGCATACGACCACCGACGACGACGCTTGTCAATCGGGAAACCACGTCGCACGTATCGACACCTACTGTTGGAGATATTTCTAAGTCTCAAAGGGGACATGGAGATAATGAGTAAAATGTTCCTAATATGAGCGTAGAATTGCTGGTGTTGGATGCTCATAAATATACCAACGTCAAAAAATGATGATATATTCTCTCCTCCAAACCCGTATCCCGCAATTTTGAACCCTACGAAAGATTTTCCGAAAATGATCACGATAGTCTGAAACGTCAATAAACGGAGTTTGGGCGTTTTTTTTTTCGTTTTTGTCCTTTTTCTACGCCGCCTACTGGACCGGTTTTCATAAACTACAAAGCTATTGCATCATTCGCATTGCAACAACATTGTGTAAAAATGTAATCGTAAGTTATAGGCAGTTATAAGATTAACGAACAGACCGATAGGCAGATAGACGGAAATGAGTGACATGGTTTTTCGTGATGTACATGTCATACAAAACAACCAAAAAACATACTATCTCAGTTTCGAAAATTTTCGTGATTACAATAGTATTAAAATTACAATGACGTTTTTATCCAACGAAGTAGCAATTCGGGATTCAAGATATCTGGTGGTCGTTAAAGAAACTAGTTTCTTGTACATTAATCCGCCATTGTTAAATATGTTTAAGTAACAGACGGTGAATTGGTATTGCCTATACAATATATTCTACTAAACTCAGAGTTACTTGAGCTATTTTTGACCTAAGAATCCTCTAAAATTACAAAAGACTAAACTATGAGTATAATAACAGATATTTTACAAAGTTTGTATCTACCAAAATGGACAACAAATTCGTACATCACAACGAAATCAGTCTTTACAACACTGTAAGCAAAATTTTCGTTCAACAAATAAGAGTACGCATAACCGGTATAATTCAGCAGAAATCACTTCCAAACACCTTTTCAAAGAGAAGCTAAAAAGTAAGGTTAATGTGTCAATGTACAAGAAAATATTTAAGATATCCGCCGTGGCGGCGCTGCGATCTTTGAAATCCCAATATATCAACGTAGATATAGTGTACTGACACGGTACTGATTCGACAGCAGCGCCATATTTCTCTTCAGTTCTTGACAAACGAGTAAAAAAGCTTGTATTTCTGTCAACCTACACCATTTTTGTACATTAATTAATTATAAAAGATGAAGAGAACGGATTCACGTTACGCCAACGTTTGTAGTCATTAGTCATAGGCAAGACAATGGATGTTTAAATATATCAACTGTACAAAAATGGCGGCATTTACCGGCCTACCGTTTTGCCAATTCTGGATATCACGTGTCACAGACAAATGATGCTTTGAGGTCAAGAACTTGTGGACACGATTCTTATGCATACTGTGTTACTAATTCGTGACCAATAGACTAAGCAATAAATAAAATAAAAAATACTTTTTTCATCGAATGAATTAAACATTTAAAAATAACTTTTTCCGATTGGAAGTATACTGAGTGACAAAAAAAGGTAAACACCTACGAATGTTTATCCAATTTTAACAATTTTTGGCATAAATGTTCAGTGTCCTTACTAGTAAAATGACTAAATTATCAGCTTGATTCGTTAACTGACTGCAGAAGCTGGTTCAATAATGTGTTGAGGATCCACGATTTCTTATACACTCATTGACACGCCTGGGCATCGTGCTTATAAGGTGGCCGATATCCATATACATATATATATATATATATATATACTCGAGAGTGGAAAAATTTTGAAAACATTTTTGTTTGCAACACCAAGTCTTAGACACATCCGCTTTCTTTTAAAATGTCTATAATAATGTACGTTTTTCGAATACCGTAATCACCAATTCGATTCCTCGTATAAATGAAATGTTTGAAAAACGAAACCTTCTGTTTTTCGCATAAAAATAACATTCAGCTTGCGAAATGGTTTGCGATTCATATCGGCGAGGTAAACTCGTGTATTTTGCAATAAAATTCCCCTTTGTACGAACCTAGTATGCAGCTCCATAAACTGGTGGTGTTGGCTGGAAAACTCTAATTCTATTCAAGTAACATGAACAACTCGAGTCAGCCGAGCGGTATGAGCCACGAACATCTGTTAATGACGATTACTGATGCAACTGCTTATTAATTACTTCATTATCTCATTGTTATATTCTAATTCGCAAACGTGACTACAATTTCCCTAAATCGTGTGGCATAAAACAAAACGTGCCAATTAATGTCACAAAACGACTTCACGTGCTATTAAATGAAACTTGGGGAGGAAAAGCACGTGTGTTTTTTTTCACCCTGTCTGTCTTTTTATTTCGAATTGTCGAGGACGTCGACAATATAATTAAGTCGTTCCGCGTGGACTCGTGAAAAGTATGCCACACGTGGAGTGGGCATTGTAACTACCGACTGGGAAAGGGTCACGTTGTCATTTGTAGATGCTTCTCAAATGTATTGTGTAGAGTGCTTTGATCCCGAACTAATCCCTACTTTTCATGGCCTCTTAAAAGAAAATGTATGCAATTTTAATAAGGAAAAATGTAAAATGTTTGGAAAGTATGAACATCATTGGAACCTTATTAAGCTATTTGGAGAGAACTTTGAAGAAAACCAACAGTTTAATTTTTGAGTTTGCTTCGAAATTTGATAAATTTGTGGTTTCCGTCATTCTGATGTTTTCTTACTTGTGCTATTTAAGAAAAGAAATTATAAAAATGCCCAAAAAGTGGTCATGTGGAACAAGCGTTATAAATTTACGGCGTAATTGGAAGGTTATTCAGTTTTTCAAATAGGTATTTAGCTGGAAACAAAGTAGTCGTCCAATCCTTGAACAAAATTTGCAACGGTTGTACTAGTCCTACCTTAGTAGCCAAGCATATTTTTCATAACTTATCGAATCGCCCATCAATACCAAAGATAAATCCTTAAGACATGTCGGAATACTGATTAATATTAGTTTTGGTATGTTTCTCCAACTGTTTTTATCACTACGGCCGTATCGTCAGTCGTTCCTACAATTACAGGACGCCTTTATGGCCTCGTTGACTTTCATAGTTTTCTACTGTTCCGTGCCGTATTTTGAGGTTATGTTACAATTATCTATTTCCATCAAATTGTTCATGCTTTTGATTTATATTATCTGTTACATCAGCCTGAAATTTCCTACAAGTCAAACAGAAAATATGGGCTCCCAATAGGAGAGCGAGAGCGATTAAAAATTGAAATCAACGGTTAGGTTTGCTCACACTCCGACACAAATATCCTGGAAACGCCGATGTATCGGTTAACAGCATATTAGTCGATCGACAGCACAAAGGGGACTTTTGATTAATTTATCCATTGCTGGCTCCAATTTCGCGCTGTAATATGGATGCCATTGTTATCCGGAGAAACCAGTGGAAATCAATGCATCTGGACATATGAGTATGGGCTATTTTTGATTGCACGACGTGTATCCAAATTGAATAAAAAATGTTCTTTTCAGAATTCTGGTGACTTAGGATAAGTATCACTGGATTCCAAAATTTCTACGATTCATCTCGACGATCGTTGAAATAAATCATTTTTGGTACAAGCAACATTAAGGTGATAGCGTGGCCAGGGATAAGCGACAGACAGACACACCCACGGAAATGAGTAAATGCCAAATAATATCTAAAAAACACCAGTGGCGTGGGAAGTAAAAATAAATAAAAGAATAAAAAGACTGTCCATTTGTATTTCTGTCGAGGTATCACATTTTTGAACGTAGCAAAATAAATATAGGAGTAGTAAAAGTTTCAACAAAACCTACATCTACATACCTTGTTATTCCAAATTTCTTGACATTTGAAAGTATAGCTGAAGAACCTTTACGTCTTAATCATTTTCAGATCATACAAAATTCAATTTTGAACGAATTTAACTTTTCGCGTATTAGTAATATGTATCACAATTGGAATTATTAATAATTAGTAACCTGTCGATGCTTAGGCAAACAGTTAGGTAACCGTTCGAGAGCGCTTGCAGCGCTGTCTAGCAGATTCAACCGACGTTCGAGAAGCATATGCTGTCATCTACCAGTTTCGAGGAGAAATTGAGTTTTATCTAGAAAATGCTGGAATGCATCGAGAACCGTCGAACCATTACATAAATATCCGACCAGTAGCAGGAATTCTACGGACAACGATGAATGAGTCAACGCGATTGTCCAGTCGACATAGTAATACATTTGTCATAAATTAGTTACAAGTGTTATAAATTAGTGTAATACTAGACTTAGGACAGTAAAAACGGTGTTTTCGTTACAATATTTTCATCAAGTATCTATCAGCCCCCAAAAATTTTCCAAAAAAGGGTAGCAAATTTTTTCAGGGGGAGAAACATCTTGAATATGGTACACAAAAGTATGCTTAAAACGGAAATTTTAGAAGGCTTCCAGATTCGACGGGCCTAGGGACTGTGGACGAATTGTATGGGTATATTTGTTATACATGTTCGTAGTAACTTAGTACAGCACGTACAGTCTATTTCGTTTATGCTAAGCTTGTCGCGTGTAGTAGTAGGGCCTATTGTTTAGGGATAAATATGGTCTCCAACGTAGTAGTCCTATGTAAAATCAAAATAAACTCTTTTTACGTAAAAATGACACAGGGATTTATAATATTGCTATTCAAAGCGTTACAAGCGTCAAAATCTCAAGTACCGAAGTATCGACTATGTCAAAAATAAAATCCTTTAAAACGTGGAGCACTTATTAAGAAGCATTCTGTGCAGCTAACGTGCCTGAATATCATCGGCATCAGTAACCGCATCAAAGTGTCCACAGTTGGAACCCCTGCTTAAAGCTTAGTCGTATCTAGGTCATGCTGTCAGGTTTTTAATTCCCCTCCAGAGCATACTAGTTAAGGAAAAAGGAAAGACACTCCCTTAATGGTCGACTTAAGGGCAACAGTCCAGGTTAATTGTCTCGTTTTGGATGGTGACCTAATCCCTTTGCACGACCGTTTGATTGGTCGACCTCCGGTCATTTGGGAAAGTTTACCGACCGGATTAAACCCGTCGATAATACTTTACGGGAGAAGGTTATTCATTTCATCCAAAGACTTACCATACAATTATACTAAATTGAGTTAATAAGTTTCAGTAATTACGAGTAGACACACACGCCTTTACTCATGTAAAGGTACAAGATTCTGGTAGACATTTAAAATAGATAGTGCCGTGTCCTGTAGAAGCGAAGAGGCGTTTCGTGAAATCTTTGAATCTAACATAAGCATGAAAGTCGAAAGGTCATTTTAATATTAAACTAGTTCCTTTAGTAGCCAAAAGTAAATCTTACAAAGGTCATTTTTAATTACCTGTTCGAGATAAAAGCAGTCAGACACGAATAAGGTACGGCGGAACCGATCTTCATTAACACAATCAAACGTCATGCGCTCTGTCCAATACAATTAGTGCCTTACTGCTTTGAAAGGTTTCCAAGAGTCATTATTTTTGAATTACATGCTTAGCACCTATTCAGTTGTTATAGCAAGACTATCTCTCCTGACAGGGAAATTCAAGTACTTCAAAGCAAATAATGAAAATAGGTTAGATCATTTTCTTCTAAATGATACTTTTTTATATTCCGACTACCACGAAGACCTGAGGCCTAAACACCCATGGGGTACCGTAGGGCTATAGGGGGATACAGGGAAAAGGGGGGACGCCACACAGACTCTGGCGAGGGAACACGTGTGCACGCAACATGCACACATTCTGGCCCCGCCTACGAGATCCGCCGAGTGGTACTATGCGTTCGACAGTCAGAGACCGTCTACCACCTACGGACAATCACAACATCCATAGTCAAGAGAAAAATTTCTCTTGGGACGGGATTCGAACCCGCACAGCGCACGGCGACTGATCAGGAGACCGAAGAGTCTACTACCTCGGCCACCGATGCTGCCTAGTACTATTGACAATAAAGCTTAGTCTTTCTTTATTAAGTAACTTCTTGACGTAACTGCAACTATCAGGTTGCGGCACTTGCGTGGTTGGATGTCACACAGTCAAAAATAGATGGGAAGAAGTACATTTTGAAAAATACAAAAAACCCTACTACAGTAACTGATTTAATTATGCTAACAGGACGATTCTAAGGATCACCCAGATATCAAAATACATTAAGCCGTTGTGCACTATAGGTTCTGACATATCAAAGTCCAAATTTGCATTTAAAATCCGTCATTTTGATTTGAAACAAACAGTGAAAAGACAAATCTAGAGACATCTCGAAGGTCAAAATCAATCCAGCAGTTTAAGCCGTAGCCCGTGGAATATAAATATCAAAGTAGACATTTTTGATTGAAATAACCCATTTTGATTTTATGAAGTTTTAATATCTCTTGCACTTGCATTGTCAAGATGTCAAGACAAATCTAGACACCTCATAAGTTGCCTAAGCTCGATACATACATATTCACGAGCGAAATACGTAACGTAAGCTATTTTTCACGATATCACATTTTAACATCTATTAATGTGAACAGCTGATCAGCAATTGGCATGTCTGTCTACTTATAACCTCTGACATGACCTCCAGCCCAACTCGCTGCCTTCAGCGTCCCAGATTACCCCCAAAAGTGACATTATGTCGTTTTTTTGACATTTAATGAGTTTTTTTGTGACATAATTTAGGTTTTTCTAGTTTAGGAAAATAGAGATATGGATTGCACGGAAACTCATTGTAAGGCCCAGGGCTAAGGATGGTCGTTTCTGCATGTAACTGGATAGAGCCAACCTAAGGTTGCTGGTGGGACTGTTGTCTGGCCATAACACGTTAGGCGCCACCTGCACGTGATGGGCATGGCTGAGTATCCCTTGTGTGAGCGCTGCGGGGTAGAGGAAGAGGCAGACTATACTGAGGTCCATTACTTTTGGCCCTCAGGACGTCAAGGAGCTTGGACTCAAGGCCATACTCAAGTTCGCTAGAAAGGCGAGGCTTGAGGTACATAAGGGTCCGTGTAAGCGGCCTGTGCACTGATGACTCCTTATGGTGACCGGAATGCCTCTAATTTCACGATTCATTCATAGCACAAGATGTTGTACACTTGTTGTGAACTCGTTTTGTAGCTGTACGTGTTGCTTAAACGTGAAATGAACTATTTGCACACTAAAGACTACCTATTCTGCAAGATGACGTTTCATCGTTTTTTATATAATACCCATGCGGTACGGCTATAGTTCATTCCACGTTTGATCGCTGTGAGCGTCCGTCTATGGAGTAATGACTCAACAACATGCATTGGTGGTTGCAGAAAGCAAATATATGTTTTGTGAAGCCGAGTAGTCTATAGTGTTTATCTCTGAGAAGATGTGAAAGAAAGAAAGTTAGCGGAGTATCAAGATCGCATCTGGATGATTATGTATATTGATCTGCATGTGTATAAAATCAGTTATGCTACGTGAGAAAATTATTACTAAATATGCTGTGAATGAAGTAAATCTATTAGCTGTGCCCGACGCGTTATTTATATGTTGTCCTTTCTGAAGACAGGTTATGTTCAGTTATGAATTGCGATTTTCCCGTTTTTTGTGTTTTCAAAAAATTTTAAGAGCATTACGAGAAAACCGCCACCGCGCACGCGTTGTGTGCAATTAAGCTACATCACAGAAAAATTAGGAATGACGTACCACACTCCATACATTTTCGCAGTGACTTTGTATTTTCTATTGACATCGCAAAATAAATTTCTATAAAACTTAAATGACTGTAAATAAAAAAATAATGTAATAACCTTTTCAATTTCTTAAATATTCCTGAGTGTAGGATATCTTTCACTTGTTACTTCACCAACCAGGGAGTTTCTTTTCTTATTTCTCACATTTTTGAAATTCAGCAAATTTGCATATGTAATTTCCAGGAAGAAACCAATGAAATTATCATCATCACAAATTATTAGCTCACACCTATGCACTGCTGTTTCCTTCCAGCTATAGTCTATAGTATACGACATACAGCTTAGACCTCCAATAATGCCATCTGTGAACATTGATAGTTGAAGCATCATGACGTTTGGGCAACACGTACAACTACAAAACGAGTTCACAACAAGAAGTGTGCATCTACGTTATGTCAAAAAAACCTATATGTCAAAAAAACCTATATGTCAAAAAAAACGACATAATGTCACTTTTCAAGATGCATAATACCCGTGCCGGGCATCGCGACTGCTATAAGGAGCTTGAAGACGCGTTGATAACGCGACTTTTGAACTGCCTAAATTTAGCAGAACTGGGAAAAACGGCCACAGGCAGATTGCTCCACAACACCCTAGGAACAAAGAAGCGGTCGTACCGTCCAGTCCTGGATGTACGAAGTTCGACAGAGCTCGGATGGGAGGCAGTCTGGCAGGCTCAGCGCGATATGACAATGGGCGGTTCTGAGGAACAAAGGCCATTGACGTAGCGGTAGAACAGCATCTAGTATGGATATGTGAAATCTCGATTCTTTTAACAGATTGTGCATTTTTCAGAATGTATACTGCTTGTTAGATATCAGTGACTTGCCCTAGCAGTGTGTGTTGCCTACTTGTAGATTGCTAGACTTCTTCAGACATCGCACTCCCTTATGGAACCTTTCCGGCTCAAATGACTGCATATACCTTTCGTCCATTGGAATCAATGAATAAATAGCACTAAACCAGACAAGCAGCCAACTATGTTATATAGCCTGTAACCATCTGGTTACGTTCAGTGGTACCTAGCTGCAATTAATTTTGTGCCCAGATCCCTTAATAGGTCAACAACCCAATGGTTCAAATGAGGTGTGTATCAACTTCAAAAAACGTTGAAGCTGTGTGTTGCCTATCTCCCCCCTGCCGCTTAATTTCAGTTTGGTGTTTTGGCATAATTTGAATGACTCATCCAACAAATAAGTTATTATGGCCATGATAAAATGTGTTGTTGTTAGCATTAAATTGACTTCGTTTTGATGCAGTTGTCTCAGGTGCAGGATAGTTTGAAAAAATATACATATACACCTTACCATTGTTAACTCTTTGAGGTACGCCGGTACAAATTTTGAACCACTTTTTCTGTGCTGTTTGATGTATGGTGGGTTGTAATTTAAACCACCGATTTTATTTATTTTTCCTTGAAGTACGTCGGTTTATTTTCTGTCCTACCTTACGGAAGCATGTATAAAGGTTGAATTAACACTTCTCTTGCATAGATGCCAGCACTGATCAGCTCGTTAATTTAGTGATTTGTTTACAATTAGACGTGACAGGTTAATTCTTGAAAAACAGTAAGTTTTTTTATATTTTTTGTTAGAAAAAAAGTTTAATATGGTGAGAAATTGTTGGTTTTCTTCATAGTGAATATATTAAAATATATATAAAGTTTTAGGCTTTATAAGTGGCATAGAAAATGTTATTTTACACGCGGGTTGCTTTTTGTCCCACCATGCTTAAAATGTTTTTTTTTTTACTTTTTTGGTGTAATGTATTATACAAAGTAAAGAATTAATTTTTACAAAAATTTTAATGACAAAAGCGACACTTTTTCGTACTAATGCGGAAATTAATTATTTTAGATAATGTCAAGGCCACAAACAATAACAGAACCATTACCGTTCAGACTGGTTGGCATGACAGAAGCTGAGCTTTATGAAAAAATCAACGCCATTAGCCAATCGTCGGATCTAGAATATCAGGATATTCCTTCTGGAGAGTCTGATAATGACAGTGCTTCAGAGCAAAAGGATCTGGATGCAGGAATCAATCTGTCCGAGCCTGAGAACATGTTATTGCCTGAAATTGCTGATGAAGAAATCGTGGAACCTGAGGGGGACCCAGAAGATCTTGTTCCTCTCAGTGAGCTTCAAAAACTGTGGAAAATTAAGTGGACCAAAGATATTATAAAAAAACAACCGGAAAATTTTGAAAATGCGCCTGGACTACAATTGTGCAGAAATTGCCCAATAAAATACCATATAACCTCTTCCAGTTGTTGATATCGGATGAAATGATTAGTCATATAGTATTTCAAACAAACCTCTACGCTGAGCAGAACTTTCAAAAAAATAATAAAGCATATCGACCTACACATGAAGACGAGATCAGAACGTTTATTGGAATCAATCTCTTGATGGGTATAAAGAAACCTCCATCATATAGAGATTATTGGACTACTCGGCCTAGCTTACATGATCCCTATATAAGCAATATCAGCACCGTTCATCGTTTTGGCTGGCTTCTTAGCAACATCCATCTGAACGACAATAACCTGATGCCTAACCGTGGCTCCCCAAACTTTGACAAACTATACAAAGTACGACCATTTCTTGAACAATTGAAGAAAAATTTCAAGGCCTGTTTGAGTCCGTACATGAATTTATCAGTTGATGAATCAATGATAATGTTTAAGGCACAATCAACTTTAAAACAATATATGCCAGCTAAAGCGTTAAATGCGGATATAAAGTGTGGATGCTTGCAGATCAAACAGGATACTGCTTGGATTTTGACATTTATGTTGGAAAGACTGGTCCTTCAGAAGGTAAAAATCTAGGTTATAGAGTTGTGATGCAGTTAACAGTTGGGCTTGAAAACAGATATCATAGAGTTTTTTTTGACAACTTTTTTACGAGTGTTCCCTTACTCAACCAACTCGTTCAGAAAAAAATATACGCCTGCGGCACAGTCAGAAGTACCCGAAGAGATATGCCAAAATTTCAAGAAGATAAGTCTATGAAAAGAGGTGATACATGTTCTTCAAATCTTTCAGCTTATAAATGGTGTGATAAGAGGTTAGTGTATACCTTTTGTCAAATTTTCATAACCCAAACGAGACAACTGAAGTCAAAAGAAAGTCCAAAGACGGCACAGTTGAAAACGTTTCGTGTCCCAAAGTACTAACCGATTACAATAGATACATGAATTCTGTTGACAAGTTTGACCAGATGAGGTCAGTTTATGGTCTTGATCGAAAAAGTAAAAAATGGTGGCACCGAATCCTGTTTTTCTTCATTGATACTGCAATTGTAAATGCGTTTATTCTGCATACTTTATCAAATGAAACTAAAATGAATATGAAATAATTTCGACTAAATATAGCAGAACATCTAGTGGTCAGCAAAATAGTCAAGACTTCGCAACATCCAGAAAGTTTGTTGCCGATCCAAATTAAAAATCACAAACCATATGATGCAGAAGCTGTTAGATTCACTCAAAGCACTCATCAACCAATTCGGTCTACAAGACGTAGATGCGCGTACTGCAGTTCAAAGGAGTTCGAAATACGAACTCTGCAGTGTATGTCAAGTTCCACTATGTTTAGGAAAAAGTATAACCTGTTTTCAGAGGTACTACTCAAAATGAATGTTGAAACGGTATGGTGGGTTAAATATTATCCCACCTCTTTTTTTTTTAAAATGGACACAAAAAAGCATCAAAATGTTTTTTTTGTTTTTGTTTTAGTATAAGCATTAAGATTTTTTACGTTTTTTATTAATAAAACAAACTTGAATATCTCGTACCGCTAGAGCATTTTTTAGTCAATATTTCCATACCTCAAAGAGTTAACAGGTTTTGTTGGTTGAGATATCACTTAAAATTATACCTGAAATGCAAACCAATTAGGGCAGTCTTAGAGTAAAGAACCTTATTCATGAATCTGGGCCTATTATAGATGGTATTTTTTACATCTGGTTTGAACAGAAGCAAAAAATGATTCAAATATATCCATCTTTATTCGATTATATTATGGAAAAGAAACAAACTACTAAATGGTAGACAGCCGAAATATGTTACCACTAATACAGTTCTCCAACACCAATTGTTAATGCAAAATGCAATTACGGAACAAGCCTATGCTTTCAACGATCATCTAAACTGTGTTCAAATAGCAATATAATCTTTTCCACACCTCAAGCCATTACAGGTGATTATGAGCCTAGAAATTATAATTAAACAAACACTAAAATGCAGCTAGTAATTTCAAACATCTGAAAAAAAATGTAGAATTTCTCCGCGCTTTTGTTTGCGCCATCCATTATCATAGTCACAAAAACCTGGCAGCAAATGAAAATACGCTTGGTAGATATGTGTTAACCCTATTCTACCACACTACTACTTAGTAGCTCAACACTATCCAAATATATAAAATGTTTACTACTATTTTTATTACATTCCAAATATATAAGTTTGCATAAAAAATATTTGATAGATATGTAGTATCGCTATTAACAAATTCTAGCTGTACATTTATTTGAGAAATAAGTTATGTTGTATCAATGTATAAATCGCACAATTATCAGAGATTGAAAACTTTAAAGGTCTCCAAGCATTTTTTGGAGTATTTTTTCGTCGAAAGGGATAGCTGTTTTTCCATTACTCATTACCAATTGTTAAGTTTTGAAAGTACCCTACTGGAATTTGAATATTATTTCTGTAAAATACATATACCATATATTTTTCTGACAGATTTTATTCTTTTTCAAATACCTATATTTGCACATATAGATTGTAGAAACATGCTTTAGTGACATCTAGATGTGCATAGAAGCAGAAGTACTTTCACTGGCAGATTGACATTCGACACTTTTGACAGGGCACTCATTTAAAAGAAAATCCAACCATTTCAAAACTGTATACAATGGAGAAGTCTACGTGATATTATTTCTGTAAAACATTAAAATACAGTAAGTTATTTCAAACACTAATTCTATCAGAAAAAAGTTATGTGGAATTTCTTCACGCTTTTGTTTGCTCCTCTCATTAACATAGGCACAAAAACTTGGTAGCAAATATGTATTACACCCGTTCACTACCCAAATATTCGTAACTTATTTACCGAGGTTTTTACTTCATTGCAAATAATAGGGAAAAATGTCGTTTCACCAATAAAATTACTTCTGAGCTTACATTTATTTGACTTCCCATGCAGCAATGTCGCCAGTTCATTAAAAATTATGGTCGGCACAAGTTAGCCCCGCGTAGGAAAAAGTTATCTACGTGTATATGTATAACAAAGGAATTAGATAGATCAAACCAATCAAACGGGTTCATACGAGTAATGCCCAGTCCCGACTCATCCGAGAACGTTGTGATCAAGGTTGATCATAGCAATGAGGAAATAGCTCCAGCGATTATCTCCCGGAAAGTTAATCTCTTATATTTTTGTTACGCTCGACGCGGACACCGAAAATATATGTATATATCATTCTTAGCATCAGCTTAAATTTATGTTTGAAATTCGTCTAAATAGGTGCATAGTTACTGGGGTTAGAAAAGTATAAATATATTAACGTCAATAACGAAGGGCGATTTATATTTTACCGCTTTTCCCCCACAGCTTCGTCGTCACTGGATTGATTTACAAACACTATAAAGCTTTTTCGATCGGATAGTAACAACCCTGGGATAAAATTTCATCAAAATCCGAGCGGTACTTTTCAAGTTCTGAGGGGACAAGGATTAGAGAACAGACCGACCGACAGGCCTCGGGCAGTAAAAGGTTACGTTTTCATATTGACATACACATTTGCGTGTTCAACCAAAACTACAAAAAAAAGATGTGTCATGTGAAACCGATATCAAGAACAAAATAATCTTGAGCTCCGGGCAATATAATGAATAATAAATATAATCCCTAATGTGTTTCCGTCAAGGAACCTGAAAAGGGTCTCAACAACCTTGTCTCTTTCACGCATCCAAAAATGATGTCACTTAGGATCAAAGAAATCTTGCAACTCACCACTTTCGCTAAGATCGAAACTGCTATCCCGCTGTTCCTCCATCTGACGTCTTTCCCTTTCCACTGAAAATTTAATGACGATTAATTAAGATGATCCCACATCATACATATTTTATACGAGTATGCCCATGCATTCAAACTAACTAAAAAGTGAACAATTTTCGATACCTTATAAAAAAAATTAAAATTCTAAAGGACTTAAAACAAGCTTGTATAACATGCCTCAGTGCAGTATCACATAGTATATGGAATTATTGGATGGGGCGGAGCATCAAATAGGCATATAAAGCAAGTTGAGATAATCCAAAAATGGATGTTGAAGTTGACAGTTATCAATACCAAAAATTGTTTACCCCCATCTGATGAGCTATATGGAGAATTAGGAGTTTTTCATGCCAAACAATTATATTTTCATTGTTTAGCATTTTAGCAACACAAACACAGTAGGCAGTATTTCAATCATGCGTATAATACTAGGAGTAAGGAAATCAAAGTGGCTATTCCGAGAAGACAAACTGTTGGCCAAAGATGTTTTACTTATCTTGTGCCCAAAATATTTGATCAACTTCCGCAAAATCTCAATGAGATTGTCATGTCAAAAATTTAAAAGACTTCTATCTGAATGGCTTCATGAACAACCAAGAATGGAAGTCCGTGAGCTGCTTAATTTAGGATTGCCAAAGTAATGCCCAAACAACTGGACAATCACCTAATAAATATCATGTGTATCATGTATAATAAATTTATTAAACATTGTTAAGTGTTGTTCGATATTTAGTAGTACTTCATTACATAAAAAACTAGTACTTACTCTGTAAGAACTGCGAGCTCTTCCTGATCCGGTTGTGTTCGTTGCTGTCGTGACGCATCCCAATCAATTTCATAATGCCTCTGTCCTTTTTCGTGATCGGCCCAGGACAACTGTCCTCAAACAATTTCACGCAATGTCGGTGGAGATTTATGAGGCAGACTGAAACAGAAATCAGTGTTTTATGTTCAACATTCTAATTTTCAACATTCTGATTTAATTACTCTGCCAATATTAAAAACGCTTGCGTAATTCGCGAAGATTACTTGCGATAAACAGTATAAAGTAGATGTTTGTTTTGAATCCACATTCATTGCCGTTTATAGAATGATATTGACTGTTTGTAAAAGTAAAAATGTGTTGTTGAAATTGTTCGGCGAATTCGTTTACTCACCGATCGTTTTTTTAAGCTCAGGGAATAAAAGCGGTATATAATTTAGTAGAGCGGGAGTCTAGTCGCATGGACGGACGGAGGGCCCTCTAGACGGCCAGGATCGCCTTTTTTTTCAAGAAGATGGTATACGAGTATATTGGGGTACATTGGTGTAAAAATTACGTTGCACCTGAATCGTGACACCTATGCCCCTCTAGACGTGTCCCACCAAACTTTATCAATTGACACAAGAGCATTTGCTCTCAGAAGCGCCGCACAGGTGCTTAAGTATGTTGGACGGCATCGTGTAACATTTTTGTTTAATGGAACGAAAGGCTGTGTGACAGATTGTCTTAAAGATCGTTAGGAGTACTTTATAACCCCAGAATATAAAATTCCTAATGGCCGATGGGGATGGTGTCAAAGTTGAGCGTTTTTGTGTATTGAATCGCTTATACTCGCAACTCGACAACTAATCATCAAAACGTTATAGTATGTTATCGATCTTCCTCTTTTGGAAGGGTCTATCTGAATGTGCAATCGGATATGAGACATTCAAATTAACACTGACAGATATTGGCAATTCTTTCAATGGACTGTTTCATATTTTATTACACATTCCGATAGACCCTTCCAAGAGAAGAAGATTGATATAACATACTATAGCGTTTTGATGATTGTTTTTTTTACATAGACCGAAGCAGCCGCGCAGGCAGAAGCCTAAATGCCGGGACACCGCGGCTGCTATGAGGATCCCAAAGAAATTTTGTTAATCCGATTTTTGAACTGCCTAAGGTTAGTGGAACTAGGAAAAGCTTCCTCTTGTAGATTGTTCACCAATCTCGACACCCTCGGGACACAGGAGCGGTCGTATCGGCCAGTTCTGAATGTACGAAGTTCGAAACGGTTAAGATGGGAGGCCAAAGTCAGGCGGGTCTTTTTGGCAGGCACATCGTGCCGCGGAATCATCGAAGAGAGCGCTGAGGAGCAAAGCCCGTTGGTGTAGCGGTAGAAGAGAGCTAGATCACCGACGGGCCGCCGATGCAAAAGGGTACCGAGACTGTCTGTTGGAGAAGAGTCGTCGATCAGTCGGACCGCCCTCATTTCTCAGCAGCTGCCGCTATTGACGAGATGTGTCCGTGCCAGATCAAGTCCTCGGTGATGTGGACTTCCACCAGCCAAAGTGAACGGCTCTTTGGCAGAACTCGGCTCTCATCGAAACGGGATGAGCGCTATGAAGCTTTTTTTTTCGTCAAGGTACAGTACAGTGTTTTGGAAGCATTAAACTGTACAAGATTATTGTGTCCCCAAGCAGTGATAACCTCCAGGTCTCTCGTCAGAGAGGAAGTCGTCGCTAGTCTCCTTTTTTCCAGTTCAGCGGCAGAGACCGACTTGTCACTCTAAATTCCTGCATGTAGAGTGCTGTCATCAGCGAAGCTGTGGATTGGGTTGATCGTGGAGGAAAGGAGGTGGTCGTTGATATGTTGGAGCCAAGAACGATCAATGGGGAACACCCGCGTTGACGTTGTGGGACGAAAAGGAAAAGCCACCAATTACGACGGATATCTTGCGGCCAGAGAGAAAGTCAGCCACCCACCTTCAAAGCTTTTTTGGGTGGCCATACGATGGATGTTTGCATAAGAGGGCAGCGTGCCACAGCTGATCGGACGCTTTCGTGATATCAAGAACAACTACATGAGCCTCACCATAAGACTTGATGAGTTTACTCGACAATTGCGTGACGTAAGCTAGGAGATCCCCTGTGGATCGCTGGTGCTGCAACCATACTGCATGTCGCTAATCAAGCCGTGGTTGTTGAGTTGAAAGCAATTCAATGTCCAAAAGCACTCAACTTTGACAACCTACCATTTATCCATTTTCAAATATGATGATTTTATGTTATAGAGCTATAAAGTACTCATAAGGAGCTTCAAAATAGAGAATCACACAACCCCCACCCCAATAAAAATGTTACAAACTGGCGCACAGCCGAGATCTTGAAATTCATTTTATAGTAGCTTTCTGTCCCGCGATTTTAACTGCAGAACGTGTAGGTGATGCAACTAATGAAGTAATCAAATATTTCAAGCATACGAGTTGGCTGTCAATTTACTAATGCCGTTAAGGATACAAAATGCGATCGAAAAATATAACATTAGTTATAAAAAATCCATATGAAGTCGTAGGTAACAGCTAGTGCAAAATAAAACATATGTATTGCTAGACGGTCACGGGTTGAGTGGGGCGATGGCAGGCCCCGCTGTTGCCAGCTTGACTCTGATGGTTGAGATTTTGGTACTTGCCGGAACAGTTGAATATTGTCAAAATCGCGGCTAAAACCACGCCTATAACCTTCCTCGGGTATCAATTGGTATGTGTACAAATTTTTACGTATGTACGTATTGTGATTCAGACGTGATGCTGACAGGCTGAACAGACATTCTCATTCATATATAGAGGTATATTTCATGAACAACGACTATAAAAATATTTGATAGTAGCAAATCCATTGAAAGTATGAAAAACAGAATTAACAAAAGTGATAATAATATTATTATATCTGCAAAAATGTCACCTGCGATTCTATTAACTGAAACTGAACAAAAGATATAGATCAATTCAAGATACCTCAAAAAGATGCTTTCGAAGTTTTGGATCTGAAACTTTTTATCTTACCTGAACACTGGTATCCTTGTGGCCGGATCCCGTACAAAATTTGATGGCAATTCGTACAATAGACTACTGTGTAGTATTGTTGTGCTATGAACTGGTGGCCTAAAACACTTGACTGAAATAAAAAAAATGTAATTAATGTGTTATATTTTTACACAAGACAACAAAGACGATACTTTTAGTAACGAAAATTGCGTTTAATGTACAGTAATATTTACTGAATGATCGCAGTATAATGCGGATAAAAGATTTCCACGATAACGAAATATATGGACTAAATATGCAAAAAATGTTTTTTTTATAGAGATACACATTCCATATACTGGATTTTTTTGTTACCACTTGATAATATAAATTACTAACAGATTATTATGTATTCCCATAAATAAGTCAGGAGTCGTTAAATCCGTTGACTTTGGTGGCCAGTTGACATCACCAATTCGATAAATTAAACGTCTCGGAAATATTGTTCGCAAAAGATTCATTGTTTCCCTAGATGTGTGCTCCCTCCTGCTGGAACCACATGTTTTGCAGGTTAAATTGTTGGATTTGATGAGCCATATCACGGTAGCACTCGCCAGTGTCAGTAAGAGAATTACCATCGTCAAATAAGTAAGGTCCAATGACACCTCCATACTAAACACCGCAGCAAAGTGTGACTCGACGAGGATGTAGTGGTCGTTAATGGATGTCACGAGGGTTCTCTGATGCCACTATCAGTTGTTAGTAAAAATCGTTATTTTGGGTATTAAACTGCAATATTGCATGACTGTATTGTCAGCGACTGTCATGGTCACTAGGCTGTAGTTTTTGGGTTAACTGAATTTTGTATGGTAGCAAATGCAAGTCTTTTTTTAAATAGTGCATAATGACGTGCGACGAATACCCAGTTCTTGAGAACGATGTCTGGTCGACGTCTCAGGGCGCTCCACTGCACTTACACGAAGTCTCTCGATATTTTCCTGAGTACGAACAGTTAGAACACGGCCCTACCTTGGAAAGTCTTTAACTTCACTTGTTTGTTCAAGTTTCCGCACCAACTGACGAATGGTGTTGACACTGGGCACATTATTTCAACCGATATCTTGTCGTAACTTCCGAATTGTTGCAACAATCGTCTCATTATTGAAGTAAAACGTTTAAACAATACGGACGCGTTGTGGGATCGTGTAGCGCTCCTTGATGAATTGGACACATGTGCTTTAAACAACTATACGATGCCACCTACTGAAATGCGTGTATCAAAAATGGCGCGCAATTTAAATCAGCTAGTTATATATTGGCCATCCTGTATATAATTTTTTCGTATAGTCAAGGATAAAGCTACATGTAATAATATTTTCATTTAAAATGTCTAAACTAGCACTCTGAGCGTATGCAGGTTACTATAGGTTTTTTGACGAATAAAATTGGCTACAGAAAACGTTTCTTATGTTTTCCGACAGCCTGATAGTTCTTCACGCATACTCCGTACGTTACACATTATTAATGCCCGGCCAACTTTTCTTCTACTGGACGCTCCAGGAAATAACTGGATGTATATGATTTTTTGAAGGAGCTAACAGTGGTTAGCCATTATAAATAATAGACGTCATCAGGAAGTCATTTCCACGTTACTTCTACGTCATTCAACTCGTGAATTTCGCTCATTTCATGACCAGATTGTAAGGTCATGTTCACGTGCTTGTGCTAACTGGGATGTCACTACATGTAGCTTTATCCTTGATTTTCTCAAAATGTATTGGCTACACAAAAAAGTTTTGTAATGACAAAATGATAGATGATATAATTTCCTACAAAATTGTTTCTATTACTTTGTTACATAGGATCGATAGTTATTGAGAAATTTGGTCAAACGCATTTATAAAAAAATCGGCAAATGCCCCAGCCCTATGATCATTATGAATTTATCATCAGAGCAATATTCCAACGATATTATCAAAAATATTTTCCGTTACACTTCTTGTAGAATTTTTTAATTCAAAATCTCCCTTGTTGATTTCCTATATGTGGAACAAGCTGTATGTATGTCAGTGAAAGTCTACCACAGGAGTATAACAATCGAAAGATTAAGATAAACAGGGGTGCTGGCAGCCCAAAGCATTAAGTGAGAAAAGTGATTTTTGCAAAAAAAGTAGAGAGAAAAACGTGAGAAACAGTGAATTTATACATAAAAAAGTTAAATTTTCTGAGAAATTGAGTATCATGTCAAATTTAAATGGATCATATAAATAAGAATGTGTGCGAAAAACGAGAATAGGTCATATAAGGTCTATGTTACTGTTTTATTAACGTAAGCAACAATAATTATTCATATGCATGCATATTTCAAGATCAATGCATAAAAAAACATGAAAATTAAAACAAATTCTTGTAAATGCGGGAGACGTACATATACGAATATATACAGGGTGACTTCGAAGTTGAGTCATTTATTTTAACAGTGAGTAGATCTGATCAAAAGAAATGTTCTTTCTCTTTAACATTTTTCTGGTAAAATTAGAGTAACAAAGTTATAGCCCTTTAGAAGTTTGAGTACCGCCCTGTCTCAATAATAATATGTGCTCGTGTTTGGCAACAACGGATATAATCGGAAACAAAAAAGCGAAAGAATTTGAAACGCTTATCACGATGTTTTATTCATTTATTTTATTCAGTTGTATTCATTCGATGTGTCAGTCGGTAACGCGTGAATGGTGTTTCTGCGTGGCTCAAACGAAATAAAAAATGGCACATGTTTACGAAAATGCTGAACTTGTGGACATGACTCTTATTTTACAAAATGCTGCTACGGCAACACGGATTTATACAGATCGGTTTCCCAATCGAGTGCAACCAACCCCTAGTGCTTTTGTTAATGTAGTACAAAGGGCTCGTGAATCAGGTGACTTAAGTCCTCACACGGGAGGGTATGTGCTCCAAGACCGCACGATCAAATACAGGTCCGCACTGAAATACTTGTCGGGAGGATATTTTATAAAACAAGGTAACATTTTTTTTTAAATTTTTTTTTTAATTTTTACACACATATTTTGGTTTATCTTCCTTCTACAATCATTATCTGAAAATTAATGACTCAACTTCAAAGTCACCCTGTATAGAGAAAATGATCATGCGGAGAAAGGTCTATAACTGGGGTCCATTACTTTGGACCCTCAGGATGTCAAGGAGCTTGGACTCAAGGCGATTCTCAACTTCGCTAAAGGGGCGAGGCTTGTGATCTAAGGAATGTAGAGGTGCATAAGGACCTGCTTAAGCGGCCAAGCACTGGATCCTTATGGTGACCGGAATGCCTCTAATTTCACGATTCATTCATCATTCATATAACTAAAAGTAGTAAAATAATGGGTAAAATCCGCAAAAAGGAGGAAAGTGGATTCGAGCGGAAAATAGGATAGGTAACCCGAGCGATACGTATTTCTGCCGGTTGGCTTCATCAGGCCCGAAATGAATGCATATATGAAACTACAAAAGTAGATACACATGCCCACATATCCGGATACGGGTGTAACCTGGGGAAACGAAGATGAAGAGGGGAAAAAAACGACACACGAAGTCTACAACAAGAGCCAACGTACACATTGTAGTATAAAGTGGCTAGAAGACCTCGAATTTTCAAGGAGACATCTAAACACAACCACGCGGCCGGTTATAGCCACATGCTGTGGTACTTCAAGCCCAAAGGATCTACAAAGAGAAAATGATCCTCAGTCCAGTTTTTTATTCGTCGACTATGTGTTCCCTTCACTGTTGTTTAAAAACCATTTCGGCAAAAATCTCGCCGACTTAGTAAGTAAATATTTTTCTCCTTGCTATTGTCAATAATTGTTTCCAGCTCCAGACGATAAAGACATAGATCTTCGATAGCTTGAGAGTTTAAGTTATAAGAGTGTACATTTGCAATACTTTGCCTTCTACCCAAAGAAATTAAAGGATATATATATTAAATATTCTTGCTCAATTCATTGTATCTACATTTTATTTATTATAGAATGAGTATTTTTCACACAATATATAGTTAACTGACTTAATCATCAGATCGTAAGACTAGAGTACTTGACATTAGGAATTAAGCAAGGCTCTATTCGATGGGATCCCTGGGCCACTTCTTGGCTTCATCATCAGATCATCTCCATGTCATAATCATATACCATTAAACGTCCGCCATCTTTCATCAATCCCTTTCAGATATTTTGCGGCAGCTGCCGCCATATTAGATCTACAATGACGCGTCGTTATTTACTGTATCTCTCTGTTCAAGTCCTTTCAGTCTATAACCATATCATAGGGGTAACTATAGAAATCATAAGTGACATTTTGCTGATTGTGTTTCTCTCAAGCACTTTCATCTGATGCCCATATTATAGGCGTGAATATGGAAATTATAGATCGCCAAATTGCGGCCTTCGTCATATTGGATTTAGAATGACGTTAGTGTGCTTATTGTGTTTCGCTCATCAAGCTCTTCCATTTGATATCCATATCATATACTAAGAAAATGATAAATCGCTATTTTGTAGCATACACCATATTAGATTTAAAATGGCGGAGTTACTTCGTTATGTACTGTCACACGAACCAGACGGGCATACAAAATTTCAGGATTTGTCCCTGATATGCACACTAACGAACTAACATACTAAAAGTTATTTGTACAAGGCTTGTAAAGAGTGCCACTGTTAATGCAATTTATATTATATACCAGCTCAAATTAAGCTAGGAGAAAATGGAAACGGTTCAGGGTAAATTCGTATTCTCTGTCTCTCTAAAAATTCTCTGAATTACCAAATAATCGAAGTAACACTTTATTAGTTACCTAAATGCGCAACTTTGCCTTTATACACGTTTTGTATTGTATTGCTTACCATTTCCGATTTAATACATATTGGCTCAGCTTGAAAAAAGCCTGTATATTGACTCATAGTTAATTTTTATAAAAAAAATTCCTTCATTTAATTTCGTGGGGCTTGAGAGAACGAGGACGGCTTCCTCGAATACGTTCATAAACTATAATATATACAGAGAGCGAAAATAGTCAGAAAAGCGAATGTTTTCAACGAAAAGTGAGTAAAAATGAGATGGATCGAAAAAAGTGAGAAAAAATGTAAAAATTGA